CTTGCGAATTTTTTCTCCAATAATTGATTAATTTTTTAGGTGGCTCTGATTTCCGACGATCAGCGAAACGCGGCGCGGCGCTACCATACCGAAAGCGAAAGCCGGTTACACTGATGAGTCCGATCCTCGGTGGTTTGGTGGACAACCGGACCTGAGACATGAACGCGTGCGAGCCACGAAATGAGTGACCTTCCTTCCGGTCTCTGCGCGCCATGTTGTCGAACTTTTGGCTGCAAATGTGCTACTACAAAAAACGAGCGGGAAAAGCTCTTATACGTTCGTGTTAGAGCAGCGCTCAGCTGTTTTCTGAGTAGGCGCGTTTTCAATGTGCTGGTTACACGCTCAAACTATCAATTTCCGATCAAATGGTGACTGGTACGCACTATCTACCATCAAATTTCTGCGGCCTGCAAAAATTTGATGGTAGATGATGGAGCTGTGGGGCTCATCCTTCATCTGATTTCCACACAACCGTGCTTATTTCATGCTTATTTCAATCACCACGCTGTTTTAATTAATTTTACTCATCAATTTAGATAACACTCGACCGCCATCTTGGTCATCATTTTGATCGGAATTTGACGGAAATTTGAGCGTGTAACCAGGCCATAAGTTCCCCGAAGAAAATGAGCAACGTTGAGTGAGAGAACTCGCCTCACCAAAGTTTCAACGATCAATTTTGAGAAAAGCACACTAACGTTAAAAAAAATAGAATATAGAAATACTATTATCGTCCTTCGCTCTTTGATAACAGAGGTATTAAATAAGGTATGACAGATATTCAATTTTTGGGGGGAAAGGTCTCCGCTATTTCTGCCGAAAACTGATGATGAGTCCGTACCGTTGGTTACAAAATCGTATTTTAATGCTTGATTCTTGTATATTAGCTGAAAATAATAAGCGGAATAATCAAATTCGCGGAAGAATCATTTCGATGTTTCTACGGAAAATTCTATCTATTTTATTCTAGGTCACAAGAATCAATATTTTGATGAATATTTTCCACAATAAGAAAAATAAAAAGGTCAGCGCTTCTTGCAATTGGTCATTCTTAGAAACAGAACGAGGTACTGCGGTACCTCGCCGCTGGACTTCGCGACGTGAATGATGACGGCGCCTTGATACAACTATTCGTGCTTAGAGGATGTCCGGGTTGCATACCTAAAAAATGAGGGCACTTTGCCTTAGTAGCCCTCGCTTCGCTGGCTGCGCAGTTCAACGAATCTGACTAGAAGTTATTCTGAAGAACAGAGGAGCTTTTTCAGAGTAAATGCTACGTAGGATAGCTATTAAGGGCCGCCATCGAATCATGACGTCGGAATCGTTAAAAATTAAGGAGAGCTCACTCTGGAGAAGCAGTGCGTCCAAACTGCTGCTCCAGAATTTTTAACAACTTCCGGATTTCGCCACGTACACAGCGGACGAGTGCTCGATGTAGTCAAATATTAAAGTACTACGGATACTAGAAAAAATTAACAGTCTAAATCTCCGACTACAGACGTTCACTATTGTTTCTAAACAAACACTGGAAAAAAACATATTAGATCTAAAAATTTGTTGTTCGAAACGTCGAAGCCATTCTAAGAGCAAATAAAGGTTACCGAAAAAATTTTCCCTGAAATTTCCCGGTAATCCCTGACTGAGGCAACCCTGAAATAAACGACTCTCGATTTGATCCCCGTAAATTACGTCCGATTCCAAGAGGCGAAGCATGGTTCCGCGTTAGGAGCGGGCAGTCAACTTCAACTTGGAGCTTTTGTAACGTAACGTCGCCGCTGCGTCGCGGCGCGCTGTCAGCTGAGCGCAAGGTCACGCCAGGCGTCGATTCGACAATAATATGACCTTTCGGTGGTCAAAGCCTCACCGGGTCGAACGGCGGGCGATGCAGACGCGAAAAAGATGCTGCTCCGGCGAAATGCGCCGCCACCGTTCCGTTTCCCGATGATGTAAGATCGACACAAAACGCGCTTGCGAAATCGCTCACCCGGAAAGCAAACTCGGTTCGAGATTAATCGGTAAAACAAAAATAAATAAAAGGCTCAACTTGGAAACTACGTGGATGACAACATTTTTTGCAATTGAAAGGTTCAAATTTTATAAAAAAAATTTCCGAAAATAAGCGACGTTCATGATTCTAATGGAGAATTTGCAAGGAAAGTATTTATTGCTCAGTCTAGAAATGCATATAGCGCTGATTTCGTGGTATTTTCTACAGTGTTTATCTGACATGGGAATTAGTGAAAAAGTAGTTGTAAAAATGAGAAAATGCACCGCTTAGTGACGTCATCTGGCGGCATTTCCCATTTGGACGTATTTCTGCCAAACATAACTATGTGCATTGAGACATGAGCCCCATAGAATATATGCATAACAGGGTTCACGTCGTAATGCATATAGTTCCGTTTGACATGAGTTCGTCCATTTAAACACACGTATTTCAGTGTCATATCTTCTGTAATAATTGTTCAATTTATGACTGATAATGAGTAATGACTGCAAAGATTAGGATGAAAAAGGGACTCTGTAAAGGTAAAATTTTAAGGCAAGATTGTAAGCCTTTAACTGAGAAGAACTTCTTCTGAACACATTACGAGAACCATGCGTGAAAAACGCTCAAATGGACACAGCATTTTGCATAATTTTCGAGTAACATTTCTTCGTCCTTCAAACACGTCCGTGGTCGATCGAGAATAGCGGACAATGTAAGGGGAGCGATGATAAATAAAAACTGCTCGACCTGCCGACGAGATTGTACATAGTGCTAACGGCAACAAGTGTGATAACCTTTCGTTAAAATAAACCCACCTCGCCGTTTCGCACAACCGACGTCACGGATCAAATTAACGATGCTATATTCGATCTGACGATTTCCTGATAACATCCGACACGCTTGCAAACAAGGCTCCACGCTTCTCGAGCAGTCAAATGCGGGGTCAACTTTGAGGAAGCCGTTTGGCGAATCGTGTCTCAAAAGCTATGATTCTACGATCAAAATAGGAGCTCAAAATGAGTGCTCGGGGTAAATATGGAACAAGGGAGCTATACCAGATTTGAATTTGGGAGCTCAACACAATTGAGTGTCGAGTGTTGCAATTGTTGCATAGCTCGAGAGAAGAAGGCGCTTCTCTTTTTTAATCAACGCCCATCGATGGAATATCGAAGAATAGTGAAACCCGCAGAACAGATCGCAATGTTCGTTCGGTAGTAATGTATAAAATGTAATGCCCTGCAATTCATATTGCACTTATTTTAAGCTCCGGTTTCGATCGTGGGACAGTTGCTCATCAAAATCTATAAAAAACGGGGGTCAAAATCAAAATGAAGGGCAAACTGTAGATTCAGAGATTGATTCGGGGGAAAAGAAAGATACAATTTTTAAAGAAAAAACAAAAATGGGAAGAGTTAATAACTGACAGGGAATTATTGAGGTTTCCTTCCTTCGAAAAGAGCGCAATTTTATTTTCATGTGAGTTCTGAATAGCTCGTGGGTTTCAGCGTGACAAGACTCTTCTTAAATTTTAGCAACTTTTTTATTGACAACGATTAAGGGTGATTATGGTGCCATTAGGACCTGACATTAATTAATTGCAACGCAGCCATTCCTCAGACACCCCCCCCCCCNGGAATAGCGGCATCGATTTCCTTCTGAATAGTTGAAGACCATTTCTTGTTGAAGGAACAAGCAAAATCTCCGGTATTTCCAGAAAGATTATATATAGGCTGAGCCATGATTGTGATTTAGACTGCATTTTGGAATTTGGAACTATAAAACCTGGCTCCTCTGGAAAAACACGTGTGCGTATAGGGAAACTAATGGCACATACGTTGTTTTTAAACCGGGCTAGAATTTATAGTTCCAAATTACAAAATGTGGTTAATTTAGAACTAAATGACTTTTTGAATGAATCTTTCTCTACAGTGTTTAAGATATCATCAATGCGTTGTTACTCATTCAAGCATTTTTTCTTTGGTTCAAATTGGCAAGTTGCACCCACCTGGCAAAGCAATAGTGTGGTAACATTCCCACATTATTGCGAGGGTAATGTCAATAATACATTTTACATTGTGATAACGCTGGGAAAATTTTAATAAATAACAATATCGCTGAAAGATGTTTTGTTCTCTAATCTATCTTTACAATGTTTGTCACACAAACTAAGATCGATTATTTCAAGCCAAATCTATGTGACCGAGCGAGCGGTTGTTCAAAAATGAAATTTATCTCGATTTAAGGGCACAAAATTATCAGGCAATTGTAACTACAAAATTGTTCAAAAACGAATCGCTCAAAAATTGAAACGACGCACATTTTAGACATTTAGAAACGCATTTTCTTCTTTTTCTCACAGAGGAAAACATAATTATTAAGTTATATGATCAGTATACATAATCTTTTCGGCCGAATTTTCAACATCTGTCGATACGAGTGAAAGGAAATTCACAAAAAAATCCGAACACTTGGCTGAGTGAACTGATTGAGGAATGGGGACCTTTTAAAATGCTGATAACGAGATGAATATACAAATACATGCCATCATTTAATCAACAATATTGCTACAATGTTTTCAAAGCATTGCGGCGTTGATTTTGTTAGAACATTCCCGCGAAGCCTACATTGAGAGAATCCCGGTAAAAATACCAATTTTCCCAATAGCTACCTATCATCAGGGATTCTCGGTAATCTTGCCGTGTTCCCATTCAAATAAATTGACCTTTATTAAAAAAAAAACGGAGCACGGTAAAATCAAAAGTGGCAATATTACCAAGAGCGCGGTATAATTAACTGTAAAAGAGTGTAAAAATAACAGAAAAATTTGGTAAAATTATCGAGAACACTGCAAAATTACCGCCAGACGGTAAATTTACCGAGGATTCCTGATGACCGGTTTCTACCGGCAAAATAAGTAATTTCCCGGTTTTTTCTCTCCTCGGTGCATTTGCAGGGTGAGTATGCAAACGGGCACAGAATGAATTATTCCCAACAGAATGAAACCACTTACTGATTCAATCAAAGTTCCGGAAACACAATATCCCACTAAAAAATCCGAGGATTTGACATTGGGAGCTGAGTTAGAAAATCGCAAAAATCTCGATTCGGAACCGGGAACGACTGAAATCCGTCACAACGAAATCCGAAAATCGGGTTCAGAGGGAACGCGGCGGGGCCCGGGTGTTTTTTTTTTTCGTTTTTCGGGAAAATCGGGTGGGCGAGAGCGAGAAACCGTCCGCGCGTAAACAGAGCACAAACTGAGTGGAAAAGGAAGGTCCGCGGGTGAAGATGGAATTATTTACATTTTCGTGGACGGATGACCGCTTTGCTCTTCACCTCCGCAAAGGTCGCCGCGGATTTTGCTGTAGGTCATAAAACACGCTAATCGGCGATCGGCAGCCACCCCCCCCCCCCTTCCCGAGCGAATAAAATACTGATTAGGGCTTTGCACTCGAGATTTTGCGTCTGCCTCGTCGAGAAAAAAAGTCGCGCTCTGCGTTGAAAACAACGGGAACCAGGGACGGATCACCACTCTCCCCTCCGCACCGCTGCCGTGCTAAGGAAGGAACGCCGTATGAGCCTGCAGGCGTTGCCAAATTTCCTTTGGTAAATCACGAATTTTAGGGGAAATTTGTGGATATATTTCCTCCAATTTTTCAGATAGTTTTGTTCGCGATTTCACCTGAAGTTCCTGAAAATTCCGGGGAAAAATATTCATAGCTTTCCTGAAAAATAAACATTTTATCAGCGGAAATTTGGCAACTCTCGAATGTTCATACGGCGTTTTTCCTTAGCGCGACAGACCGGCAGGGCGATTATTGAACTTCATAGACAAAGCTACAGATAGAGAAGCCAAAAGGGATCCGTAGGGATCCTATCGGAGGAAGCGGATGGTTACAAAGGATCGCATTAGATAGTGGTTCGATGTGTCGTTTGGTTCAAAATAACAGAACATAACCTCAAACAATTTTAGGATTTAAATTGGAAAAGCTGAAAATGAGAAAATTCCATCAATTCACTTAACATTGCCATTTTGTACTCATAAGAATAAAAAATCTATGACGAAAAACCCGTTACATCAGATTTCTAAATTGACTTTTGAGGCTATGTTTACATGTTGAACCAATCGATATCGATACAATCTCACCTGTTTGATGTATCGAATACGATCTGGACGAAGGAGGTAGGTAATAGACTAACTAAAGGCAGCCCACGACAGACCCTATAATTAGTCCATCATCATCCCCTTAGTCCATGAAAACCACCTGTTTCAACCAGTAGGATCGCTCCGTACGCCCTGTGTCTTTTTTGTCTATAGATTTGGCTTGGAGTGGGAAACGTCTTCAGAATCGTCACAAAATTTTGGAAATGAAATTCCCTGACGAATTTTGATGAAATTCCCTGACGTTTGACGATTTACGAGATGGTTAAAAATTGCCACTTCCAAAGCTCAACGCGCAACATTGTTGTCAGGAATATGAAGCACATTCCAGAAACCAAATATAAAATTGATGTGACAACTTTCCCCCTGACATTTTCGTTATTATCGTTATTTTCTCTGACATTTCCCGACTTTCACTAAGTATGGCAACTTCGGTTCTTAAAAATTGATTGCAATCTCGGTCTTGCAACTCTCCTTAACTCTAGAAATTTTCTCGCTCTCCAAAAACGTCATGAGAACGCATTAGCAAGGAAATTTCAAAAATCAGCGGGATTTTCTAATTTTCTTCTTTTTCTCAGTCTTCTCTTAGCACAAAACAACTTATCCAGCCGAAGAAATGTCCACTCCTGAGCAGGGATTCGCGTGTTCTAGCAGATTCTATACCCTTGGCTACCAGTTGACCATGTAAGAAAAAAATGCCTGTGGATCGTGGCAGACTTGAAAACGTCTTAGAGCAAGAGGTAATTTTAGAAGTTGTGGAGCAAATCACCCATTTTGCCGTAGACTAAAATATACTGCAATGAAATTGAATATTCCTTCAGATGAATATCGAATATTCGGCCGTGCGGCAAAAATGCCGGATTGCGGTATACACGGACAGCTCTTCGGATTTTTTGCATTCTTGCAGTGGGCTTTGAAGGAAAACGCTTAAACTCCTAAAAGCATATTTACTTGGAGGGAAAGTAAATTTTAAAAAATTCTCCAAAAACTTGAAAATTTGACACGATTTAAAAGTTCAGTTCATTCAAGACTTCAGACGCAAGTAGCCTTGGTCATTCAGCACTCCCTCGCTAAGCGCCCAGGCCGATTCAATTTTCTGACCGCGCATTCCGTTCCTCATTATACACGATCAATCAACTTTCGTTTTCCTCAGTGGCGTGGCGTGCGTTGCGAGGTATCGATTCAACTAGCATTTAAACCTATGGAAAAGGATCGATGAAAGGGGTGTTCGCAAGGAACACCTTAATAATCGATTCATTACCATGGCTTCAAATGGGGAAATCGATAATCGATCATTCATGCCTCGCCACTGGTTTTCCTCTTTAGAACAAGCTGTCCAGCACGTTTTAATTCTTCTAGTGGACCTCTATTTCCTCATTATTCAGTCTCCGACGAGGAAAAGAGGCCCACTTTAAAACACTTGTCCAATGAGAAAAACACTATGGGGCTATGCCCAGCCCCATACGCGCCCCCTGCCCTCTAAAGCTCCCTCCGCGGGCACCTATGAGTTGGATTACATTTTGCGATAAGGAACCACTATCTCTGGCTTTTCCATAAAAGCACATATCTGCATAAGGAAACCAATGGCTTGTATGTTGTTTCCAAAATGGGCCACAAACAGTGGCTCCTTATTGCAAAATATGATCCAGTTGATAGAAACAGAGCTGGCTTTTCTAGGGACCATCTCCTATCGGTAGCCGCAAAAATCATCAAAATCGGCCGGAAGATCTGTCCAACGATAAGTGTGACAACAAATGAACAATTACAATGTTTAAATGAAGTATTCATAACTGCATCCAGCAATATATAAGAATTTAGGGCAAATTTTCAAAATCATGCTGAAATTCATATTTTCCACGAAGACTTCGTTTTTTAAAATCTTTGACGGAAAAATTTAAAAATCCCTCGCGCACTGAAGTTTCTTTCTCCGTGCATTTTGTGATAACGAACTATAAGTAGACACAACTGGTGTGAGGGAGGAGGGGAGGGGGGGATCTTGTTTTTTTTTATAGTTTTCATTTTTTAACATATTAATCCTTTGTCTGTTGCCTTTACAATTATAAGTATGTGTTTTATAACTATCAGTTTTACTGATGGATTAAAATTTTGTATAAATCATACATATCTCATTGACTGATCAACTTTATTGCTTTCTATTTTGTTTTCAAATATATTACATAAGGAGGGGGCCTCCTTTGTTTGAGGAGAGTTGGGTAACCTAAGAGCCTCTTAATTTATCGTTTGGATAAGGAGTTGACTTGAATCGAGGTGTTAGGAACTAGACTGAAATTTTAAATGCCAAGATCAGGATGTTAGAAGCGAGCACATGTACCGACGAATCTGACCTTGGTCGGTCGACAAGGTAGCTGACTTAAATTACTTACTTACGTCGCGCCGCGCCACTACTTTATTCAGATTTACGTCTCGCTTAATCCAAGAGCTGCAGCGCTGGTTACGGCTCAAATCTAGACTCGATCCGCCTGGGGGCAAAGCCCTTTTTATACCCGCTTCTGAGGATACGAAGGGATAAAAGATATAAAACCGAATGAAGAAAAAACTTAGAAACTGGGTACATGAGCCGGCTCAGTGTAGTAGCCGCTTCTCGGTGCGGAAAACTGAACCCTCAGCTGCGCAAACCTACCCTTTTGGTTAGAAAAGTCGAAATTCGGAACCGAATGCAGAGTTCGCCGAATNGGGGGGGGGGGGGTTGGTTTACCCAAACTTAATGTTTCGGTTCACCGAGCCGAATGTCGGTTACGCCGCTTGAAGAAGTCGGTTTGAGCAACTGAGGGTTTCACCAATCGAAATCTCTGCACGGAGGAAGTTTGGTTCATCTCGAACACCAAAGTTTTCAGTTCAGGTGATTTAAGTTGTCGATCACAAAAACCGAACTTTGGTTCAGCTAACCGAAATTCGGTTTCCAAGACTGAAAACTTTGGTTACGTTCGCCGGAAAACTTTAATGTTCAATATGAATTGAAGTTTTTTTCTCAGTGTGCAGTGCACTCAACTGAAGAACGCGCAATATTCTGATAGGACCGAAGTCATTGATCGAATAACCGAACCGCAAAGAGTGCTCAACCGAATTGAATCTATGTGAACATACTTTAACCGAATTGAACAGCCCTCCCTATCCCCTTCATATGTGTACTTCCTCTGGCAAAACGGAGATATGGTGAAACCTAAAAAGGACACTACGCTAAACTGCTTAAGTGAACAGTTGGGGTTACTTTCATTTAAGACTATAAGTTCTGGATAGTCATGGAAATCAAATAAATTCTCACAGGGTGAGAGACAAAAAAGCAAAGCAATGCATTACTTAGAAGTTATCATGCAAATTATATCATGCGAAATTAGAACAGAATAGAAAAGCATAATTTAAATTTTGACGAAGAGCGAAAAATAGATTAAAAAGCAGAAAATTGTTCCCAGATTCCGAATATTTTGGCCTGCCTTGCGAGAAGCAAATTTGCTATCTGCAAAGGTTTAATCCAATACCTTGTGAGTAAAATAACATGTCATAGGTATTAATCATCATTATTAGTAAAGTAAATAATGCGTTAAGAGTAGAGATAAACAGATGCTCTTACATTGCTTATAAGCTGCTCGGGGGCCATTGCCGGTGCCAAAATTTATAAAAACCCGCTTCTTCATTTCCTAAAAAATCAAGAAGTGGAAACGTTGGAGCATTTTGTTCTCCTTTGATTTGTAACAAATGATGATCAATCGTTCAATTGAGCCGAGTCCTTCCCTGCGACTGAAATTTTGATGCCGAAAAAATGATCGCTGCCTACCGTGAAACTAGATTTTTCCCATTTTAAATTAAGATCGAGAAAGATGGAGTCTGAGGAGTTTGATAGCTTAAAGAATAAGAGAGTTTACCACAGATTCACATCACCCAGTGCTACCACAAAGCTAGCTTTCCAAGACCTTGATCTAACTACAGAAACACATATCTTGATTGCTGAGTTTCAAAATTTTTACTCTAGTGTAACACATTCAAACTTCAATTAATTTTAGTAAAAATTGAAGATTTTCATCAATTTAATTAAAAATTGAAAATTTTCACAATT